AAAAAAAAAAAAAAAAAAAAAAAAAAAAAAAAAAAAAAAAAAAAAAAAAAAAAAAAAAAAAAAAAAAAAAAAAAAAAAAAAAAAAAAAAGAAAAACACCAAAAAACTGCACAAGTTGCCAGTGGAGATTTGTGTTCAGCTGGTTAAACCTCTGAGCTCTCCTCACCAGAGGAGTGCTGCTCTGCTCTGTGGCCAAGCCTGGCAAAGCAATCACTGCTGAGCTGGAGGGGAAGGGCAGGCAGGCACTGCTGGGATGCTTCTGGCATTAATGGATCTCATCACTTCCCATTTGGGAACCCAGCAGTGAAATATGCTCCATTCCATGCTGTGTCCCACTTGTGACCTGCTGGAATTTGTGTATTGATGATCTTGAGATTGTAAAAAGTTTCTGTTTTTTGCTTTGTTGCTAAAGAAGAAGTCTGTGCTTGTTTCAAGGTTGTTTATTCTGTTTATCTCTAACATGTTCTGCTGCCCTGCCCAGCTCTGTCCTGCAGGGCAGCGTGTGGGGCTCTGCCCTCAGTGGGATGTTACAAACATTAAATACCAGAAACTCCCTGGGCTGCATTTACAAGAACGTGCCAATATCTGTCACCTACGTTGGACAGTGTGTCCCCAGCCTGAGCCAACAGAAAAATGCCAACACCACAGTGAAACATGGAGGGCATGAAGAAGGAGAAAAAGGACAAGACACACCCAATTTCTTCTATTTTGTTCCTTTTGAACTCCTAATTTAGAAACTGAAATTTTATTTTTGTACTTGTGCTACACTTAATTATTACTTATATCAAATACTCAGAGCTGGTAATTCATCCTGTAAGACGGAAAACTCTTTTCCATGGCCAGAGATCACAGCCAGTGTCTCTGGGGGCTCTGTCCAGGGGGGTTCCTGACCCTTGCCAGGGTCCCAGACCTGCCAGGGCAGCCAGAGGGAAGCCCTGGATTCCCACACTGAGCATCCTTTCTCAGCTCTCTGCTGCCAGAAAAACTCCACGGCGTCTGACGCAGGCTGGAGGAGATGGATGTTTATTACTGTTAAATGATAAACAATATGAAATAAATCTCTGAATAAATGTCTGGAGAGTATCACAAGGAGAGCAGAGGTTGGCTCACAGTAAGATTTACTGTACAGAGTAAGGTTTGCAGCCAGAGAGTGACAGCTATTAAAACTTGAATTCCCAAAGCAGAGCTCTTCCAGGAGCTTGCTTGGGTGTTAAGGTAGGAGATAAAAAGCCTGAATTAATGAATGATTTGTGATAGAAGAATGGCTGGTGGTGACAGGCTGCAGGAGGACTGGTGTGATGCAGAAGGGGTTATTAGGAGGAGCTGGCACTGGGGATGCTGCACTTCTGGCACGTGGGGTGCACAAGCTGCTCCTCCTGCAAGCACAGAGCTGAGCCTGGAATCAGGCTGGGACACACACAGGCACACACACACACAGTGCTGAATAAAAAAATGCTCAAACCCAAGCCCTGGCCACGAGGCTGGGCAGCCAGATCTGCCTTTCATCCACACCCATTGTCACTAATCCTCTAGAGCAGCTTTGTCCTGCTGCGTCATGGGCTAAGCACAAATTCTGTTACATGGACCACCCTGCTCCAGTGCTTCAGCTCATTTCCCTGGCCCTCTGATTTAGCATCACGGAAGTGCCTTCAGGATTCCTTTCAAACCCATTCTCCATAGTCTGGTTTTATATGGAAACAATACAATAAATAAAGATAATAAAAACCCAACACAAAAAAAACCAACCCCCCCCAAAAAAACAGCTTTCAATGCCATCTCCTAGACAAGATTATTTATTATACATATAGGTCAAGGTTTTGAGAGATCAACAAATGAAGGAGTAGGCTGCTGCCTTCTCTGAGGAGAAAACACCCCAACAAAGAGTGTTTGAATAGGAAAACATCCATTACAGGATGTGCAGCAACCGTGGAAAATGTGAATCCAGGAGCAGTTTTATGAGGGGTGACTCAGACATTGGTCATCCCCAGAAGAGTGGTCACAACAGTGAGGAGCAGAGTGACAGGAGAGCACCTGCATTGCAGAGCTGACGTGACTCAGTGGAGAGTTTCATCTCCAGCCTGGCAGATTCCTGTCCTGTCGTGCAAGTCCCATCCCCAGGAGCATCCCAAATCCATCCATCTGTCTGTCCCTGACAGCTGCAGGCCTGGGAGTTTGGGGCTCACACTCAGAAACTTTTCCTTTCCTTCCCAGAGGTGAAAATTTGAGGGAAGAGTGGTTCCCCTTCAATGCAGTTTTCATTCAGGATGAAAAACTGTTTTGGCCACAAAACTATTTGAAAATTCAGGTGGGTTTCACCAAACACCCCCTGCTAGCATGGTTAGGATTATGTTGATTAAAGGACAGCAGACTCTGCTCTAAAAAAGGTGGATAACTAAATTAGGTCAAAAATGAATGGAAAAAGAGGGTTATGATTTTCTAATATTTTCTTTTCTCTAGTTCCTCTGTTTTTCAATCTTCTTCAAAATCTAGAAATGGGCCAGTGAAAGAAAAAGGCCTGACTCTAGTTCAAAGACTATTCCCACAGTTCTTTTAACCTAGGGCAACTTGCTCCTGAAACCACAGAACATCCCAGCCTTGCACTCACCTGACCCCACACCTCACTCCCAGCCAGGATGGGATGGGCTGGCTCCCACAGCCTGCACTCCTTCCCTGCTGCCTGGGCAGCTCCAGGCTCTCCATCCCACAGAGCCAAGGGTCCTCCTGTCTCACCAGGATGACCTCCAGAAGCACTGCAGCTGGATATTAGAGTTCTCCAAGAACTGCAGAAATGTTGCTTGGATGCTTCTCCCACAAACACAATATTGGGATCAGAAAGAATTGTATGAAAAACCAAAGAATCAGAGCTGGCATATCTCCATCTGGCTTGAACAGCTCCATTTGGAATTTAAAAAAAAAAAAAAAAAGCCCAATTATTTTGAATTAGGCAAACAGGAAACTGGTACAAAGCAACACTGGGTACCTACCACTTCTTATACAGGCACTGGCTGGGTTCCAAGGCAGCAGTGGGCGGGCACAGGCTCAGAGGGCACCTAATTCCCCAAGCACATCAGCTGCTGCTCACCTCCTAGTCTTGCAGCAATTTTTCCCAGCTCTCAAGATTCACCCTCCTCCAAAAGCCTCAGTGGGGTGTGCAAAGCTTTGGGGCTCTGTTTTGAGCCAGTGCCCCAGGTTTTGATGGTTCTGTTATTGTGCCATTTTCTGCCCTGGCACTCAGCACCAGTGTGGGCAGCAGCATCCTGTGAATAAACCTAGCTCAGCACCAGCACCTTGCAAAGCCAGGCTAAGGCAGGATTAAAACCTGCAGGATTAAAACCTGCAGGCTGGTATTTGTAGCAGCAAGATTGGGTTGATTGATTTTATTCAGGAAGCTGTGAGCACTGCCAGAAACAGTGCAGGGGAGGCAATGGGGACAGTGAGCACTTTCAGCTGTGGGACTGCAGAGTCACGTCAGGGGTCTCTTCTCTCTGCTTTTTATTAAGTTTACTTCTATTTTTTTTTTTCCTTATTTATTTTTTTACAAAGTCTGAGCCTCTTGAAGTAAGTGGAGAATTTTCCTGGGAACCCAGCGGCCTTTGGATGCAGTTTTCAGGGTGTGTGAACCCACCACCACCAAATGAGAGATGCAATGGGATTTTGGGAGCTCCTCTGCCACCTGCAGTGCAATACAAATGACCTGGCTCTCCAGGTAAGGCAGTTTTTGTCACAGCTGAATTGAAGAAGGTGTAGGTGATAGTAAAGGTGGCACATCAATCACATCTCCTTTTGAGGCAGTTTGATTGAAATAAAATCCTGAAGTGCTTTTTTTTTCACTTTTTATCATTATTTATGTCTTTCACATGTACATTCCTGGGATAAATCGAGTGAAATCTCACAGTGTGAGCAGTGATGGAAAGCAGGAGCAGCTGGCAGAGGAAGGAGCAGCTCCCAGCCTGGAAGACCCTCATGTGTTGAATAGAGCAGGAGCTTCCTGATGGGATTGTTTGCCCTGCTGACCTGCTTAATTAATTGACTCATTATCAGCAGCTCCCCCAGGAGCCATCAAACAGCACCCATGAGAATATTCTCCCTTGATACCCATCCCATAGAGAAATAGAATCTATTTATTTTTCATATTTCTCTGGTATATAATTTTCCTGCTGAGAAACACACAAAGCTGGATGTTTCCAGCTGGCCATGGAAGGATGAGAACTGAACTTGTAAATAATACAGCATATTTACATTTAACTTTTTTTTTTTAAAGGGAAATATTTTATACAGGCTTAGTTCCATGTAAGAGTGGCTCCTCCTAGGGGGATAGGCCTGGCTGGATATCACCCCTGTTCACAGGGACAGCAGCAATGCTCAGGTCTACCAAGGCCACACGATCCCAGAGCACCTGAGATGTGTCCACTGCACCAAGAATGACCTGCAAGGTAGAGGAAAGACTCAGGCCACCCAAACCCCAATTTTTTTCAAGGTCCAGTGACCAAGGAGATGGAGAGGAAAGTAAAATATGTGGGTGAGCATGACCCTGGGTTGAAACATTTTGTTTTGAACTCGTGGAAGGAGAACTGGAAAATATGGGCAAAATCAAAAGGTATTACAGAATTGGTGGAAAATTCTATGTTTTACCAGTATGGTTTATATTTGATGGAGGCAAATCCTTCAAGCAGCTTTCAAGCTGATCACAGAATAAACTGAGTTGGGAGGGACCCAGAAGAATCATCAAATCCAGCTCCTGGCCCTGCACAGCACTGTCCCCAGGAGTCCCCCTGTGCCCCAGAGCTTTGTCCAAACACCCCCTGAGCTCTGCCAGGCTGGTGCTGTGCCCACTGCCGTGGGGAGCCTGTTCAGTGCCCAGCCACCCTCTGGGGGAAGAACCTTTTCCTGATCTCCAGCACAAACCTCCCCTGGCACAGCTTCAGGCCATGCCTTGGGTCCTGGCAGCAGGAGAGTGGCTCCTGCCAGGAGAAGGGAACCTGAGGCAAAGCCCCTGGGACCCCCCTGTGAGCTGAGCACAGGCCAGGCAGGTGCATGCAGAGCTCTTGTCATCATCATGCAGCCATTTATAGCTGCAGCCATTTATAGCTGTAAACTCACTTTTATCATGCAGCAGCATCAGACAGACCTGCACACCATAAATGGAGCCATCCCATCCAGAAATACATCCCCTTCCACTTTCTGTTGATGATTCATGAAGCTTTTAACCAAACCAAAGAAACCCTCTTCATCTAAGCAAGCTCAAATAAAGGCAGTGAAGAACTTTTAGTGGTTTATGAGCTTCTGTGGAGGTTGTGTCTCAAATTCAAGCCCAGCAGATTGTTCCCAAGCACTAACAGCACCTGAGCAGCCACAGAAATAGCATAGAAATGGTATGGAAACAGGCATGAGGCCAGCTGAGTCTGGTTGGAAAGCAAAATACCTGCTTTTAGGGATGTTATGAGGAGTGGCTGGCATTTGCCTTTGTTCTGGACTGCCAAGCCATCCCAGTAAACCTTTCACACTTTTTTCTGTTTCTGTCTCTTTTGAACTCCATCATTTGCCCAGCAAAGTGCCATTAAAACTGTACCACTCAAAAAGAGTCGACCACCCTCCCTTGCCAAAATTCAGTTTAGCAGAACGTGTTGCTTGGCAAATTCTTTGTCCATAACTTCTTCTCAGGCTGGTGGCTGAGCCAAGGCAGGGCTGACCTGGCTGTAGCAGTAGTGGATTTGCATCTTTAACTCCTTCTCTGCTAACGTGCAGCATATGCTGAATGATTCATTGCACAGTTGTGAGCTGGGTGAAGAGTTTTGTCCAAAACAGGAGGAAAAGTTGATTGTTCAGTGATGGGGCTGAGGATCAGCCCTTGAATGCCTTTGCAGCCTTCAGTGATGTGGTGGCATTCACGGGCAGTGCTGTTTGCAGAGCAGTGAAGGTGACCAAGCATTCCCTGCAGGTGCTTCCCTTTTATAAATCTCACATCAGGCCACTGAAACCCCAGTGTTTTGTCCTGCTGGGCTAAATTAATCCTCTAATTACATTTGTAAAAACATCTCTGAAAATTTGTGCCTGTTACAACACAAATCACCAGTTCTTCCCAAGCAGGCTCTTCCAAGGAAGCTGCTGTGGGATTTCTGCCTGTTCCCATGCAAGGTGCAGGCAGCATCAAACACATTTGAGGGTTCAATTATTCCTTGGTGTAGTATATCCTCTGTAGTGGTGGCCAGAATGACCACAGACATATTTTAGCCTGTCTTTCAACACTTTGAAATTCATTTAGCCACTCAATGAGGGCGTTTTGCACCTCTGATGTACAATGAGATAATTTGTGGAGAGTTCTAGAAAGACTGAAAGTAGAGAAAGTCATTAGTGGATTCATCCATGATAATTTTGAATTAATTTTTCCATAAAGGATGCATGAAGTAAATTTAGATTCAGTCAGTGCTTCCATGCTGGGAAATAGAAAAGACAAATTTAAAGATGGAAAATGCTACTTCAGTATTTGTGATGAAGATGAGGGATGAACCCAAGCATCCTTTTCCCTGAACAGACATCTCCATGATGAATCCCAAGGAAGACAATTCCTTATCAGCTCAGCAGGACCAGGCAGAGTCTGGGATCCTGATGCCAACTGGGATTCTAATGGCTGAACAGCCAAGGGAGCTCAGTCCCACTTCCAAAATGAGAATTTCCCCTTCTACCCAGGAGATGGCACTAAGGCATTCAGGGGAAAAGCATCACTTCAGCCTTACTAAAAACCTGGTTTTTCTGAAGTTGTACGTTGTGGGAGAAAGCTGCAAATTTTCCATTCACTGGGTTGTGCTTCTTGTGATGGGACCAACTGAGTGTCCTGAGAGAGAACATGTTTCTGGTTGTTCTTCTCATGGCTCCAGTGAGCTGTCCCCAGATCACAGCAGCCTCCATGCAGTGATGTTCCTCTGTTTTGGGTACAGGGAAGCACCAAATACTCTGAAGAAATATTCCTGTGGCTCAACCATAGCAGTAATGAGGCAACAGAATCCTGGAAAATATCTCCTAATCTTCACCAGCCACCTCCTGACTCATGCCCAGCTTGTTTCTCTGTGTTGTTTCAGGGGTTTTTTCTTGGGCTTTGTTACTTCTGCACAACCTGACTGCATCCCTTTTTGAACCCCCTTGAGCTCATGGCCGGTGTCATCTTGGTGCTGCAGAAAATGGACTGGAAATGGATGGTGTTCAGGTAAAGCCAGGATTATCTAGAGCTTCTCACCTCTTTTTGACCTCAGTGCTCTTCAGTGTGAACCCTGTGTCACTCACATGAACAAGATCCATCCACGGAAAAGCCTTGGGTGCAATTTGAAAATGAAAATTGAAAGCCTGATTCTGTGTCTGCTCCCTTCTGCCATTTGGATGTATTTGCACACAACCTGAATGTCCCCTGAGAGCAGCAGTGACTCCTGGGGAGGTGTGAGAGCTTTTGGTGTGTTTGAACCACCTTGGGACCATCACCATTCCCATTCCCAGGGGTAAAAAGCACTAACAGCAATCACTGCCATGACACACAGACCTGTATTTGGAAGGGGCAATGAGGGCTGGAGAAACAAGGGTTTGAAAGAAAATTTTGGGAAGGGGAATGGCAGGAGATGAGGATGCAATTGGCTGGATCATTTGTGGGGGCTGAACTTTCAAAGGCTGCATCTCTAAGCCTGGTGTCCAAACCTGGGAAGTACCTGAGCAGGGATGCTGCCAGAAAAACCAGGAAGGACATTTATCTCCAACATCAGCAGCTGCCTGCCTTCTCCCTGGCACAAGCTTAAGGACCCCTCTAGCAAACCCAGCATGCATCTGCCTGATCGAATATCCTCATTAGTGCTCCTGACAGCGTGTAGCACAAACCCAGGATTCTTATCCAGCCATTTTTTTTCCACCATGATTGTGATTAAAATTTTGCAATATGCTTTTTTCCTAGTGATATTACCTTGTATATGTGTTCTGAGAACTTATCTAGACCCAGCCCTCATCTGTGCAGCAAAACACAGCAGAGCAGAGTGGGAATGAGTTTGGGGAGCCCAACTCCAGCATAGGGAGGCAAGAAAATGAAGTTTTTTAATAAGAGAAAGTTATCAGTAAGGCCACAGGGTTAATTTTAAGTGGTGTAAAATCACACATTCTCAATTCTCACAGCCTCGTTTTCCTCAATGAAGTCAAACTCTTTCTCCCCTCTGATCTAAGCAAGTATGTTTCCCTGTTTTCTAAGTTAAAGGCAGCTTCGTTGTTTCTGCCCTCCAACATTGCCACCAGTCCACTGCACTTAGCTACAGTGGAAATCCCAAAAGCTGCACGAGCCGTGGCCAGCAATGCCCCACACCAGGGCAGCTTTGAGAAACACTGGCCCATTCTGCTTCCCTGTATCCTCTGCTTGGAGCTTGGCCCTGCCAGACATCATTTTGCTAAATTATGTCATCATTTAGCAGAGCTTCGTCATTCATCATTTGCAGAGCTTGGATGATGAACTTTTTGGGGCAGGGACCAGTGTGCTGCTGTGTCTACACAGATCCTGCCACCAACAGGTCTGAGGATAGCTGATATTACTGTTAAGAACAAAATCAGTTATTTGTTTTCATTATTTTTGACAATTTAGCCGTATCTGTTAAAAATTTCTTGCTTATCCCTCAATACTGCAAGGATGTCCTTTAAAAGGAATACCTTTTAAGAGTCAGGGAGAGGTTTCTCTACACCACTCACTCTGGGATAATTTTGGCATCCGTTTAGGAGACCCGTTCAGATCACCAAAGCCGCAGCAGAAGGGCTGTCAGCCCTTTCCAGGTCTGGGTTCGGTGGCTCTCCATTGCCATCTTCAGGCTGGGAGCAGCCTTGAGCCTTCCAGAAACCCAAAAATCCCGAACGGACGCGGCAAACTCAATTCCCGTTTGCCCAGCATCAGCTGAAATTGATGGTCAAAACCTGGAATAAGCTGTTGAATGTAAATGAGGGGAAGGAGCTCGGCAAGGCTGGTACTCAGCTGCCGTGGATAACACGGGTATTTCCCTCCCTGTAAGTGGACAGGGTTTTACAGAGTAAATCAACACCAACAATGCTGTTTAACACACACTACCTCTTGCTGAGAGTCAAAGTTTTAGCATCAAGTTTTCTTTAAAGTACATAAATTAAAACTGCCCTAGAGATTTTAGCTCTGTAACCTCCATTGCCACCCTCAAAAAAAAAAAAAAAAACAACATTTTCTGACAATGATAAAAGCTGAGGTTCTTGGGAGATTTTAATCATAATTTGCACTTAAAGATGTCTTTGCCGAACGTTTCACATCTGACAGACATGGTGGTGGGTTTGGAGGTTTCCATGGCTTTCGGGGTTTCTGATGAGCAATATCACACAGGCAGCTTGGAGGGCCAAAGAGCTGTAATCACAGAATCACATTAACACATCCCAAAGGAAATCAGAAAAATGTGGAATAATGTAGGTGCCCTGGCCCAACAGGGCCAGCCTAGAAGAGGCTCCTCAGACCCAGTGTTGTCACCCAGTGGACATCATGGCACTCCCTCACCTCTCCAATCTCCAGACAGTGTCTGACCACCCTCACAGTGAAAAATATTCTCCAAATTAGATCTGGTTGGAAAATCACTTTCTAGGAGCCCAGAAAATCATAGAATGGTTTTGTTTGGAAGGGACATTTGAAGGTCATCTCACCCAACCCTCCTGCACCGAGCTGGGACAAATGCTGCTACTCTGCAGAACATTCCAGCAGCCGAACTCTCAGGTCTCATGGTAGTTTGGGCCAGGTCTCACGACTGTTCATACTTCTTCCCACTGCCTCAGTCCCTGAAATCCCAGCCCAGGGCCAAAATGGGTGATCCTGGTGCTTACCTCAGCCCCCTCGGCACCGCTCAGTTACCGACCAGTTTCCATCGCGGCGTCCATCGCGCGTCCTTCCCAAAGGGCAGCCACTGTGCAGAGATGGGGGAGGACCAGTCCAGCTGCTTCAGGAAGATGCTGTAGCTGTCTGCATACTCAGAAACCCAGCGGCTCCTGCAGAGAACGTGGGGAAGGGCATTAGGAGAGGGACTCCACACTCCACCCTGTGCTTCGTGCACCGGGACAAGGGACCTGCCTCCCCTTCTGCGGTGCTCAACCAGCCAGCCAGGAACCTGTGAGGAGCAATCACAAGCAGCTCAGTGGGGTGATGATGCCACTGAGGCAGGACGGTATGAAATGACTCCAGATCAGAAGGCGAGAGAGAACTCTGATTTATTTCAAGTACATCTCTCTTTTATAGAGACTATAGTGCAGACCAATTCTATTGGTCCTGAAATAAAAACATCTCACCCCATTGGTGTGCAATGAATGACACACAGTGGCAGAACTTATCTATAAACAATGTGAACAAGAGAGATAAAGAATTATTTACATTCTTTTCCAACAGTTTCCCAGGCTTCTGCCTGGTTAGAAACCTTCGTTTTTCTCCCTGACTGAACTGAGAATACCCACAGGATGGGGAGAGGGGGAACAGCCCATGTCCACCAGGAATGGGGCAGATGCTGTGGCATACACAGCTGCCATCGGGGCCATCTCCCACCTGGACCAACCATTACACAGGCACAGTCTCCACCCCACATATAAGTCCAGGATCACAGATTAAAATCTGCAATGCAGAGCTGAAATACATCTGTGTGTTCAGGGAAGGTCGTGGGCATGAGGCAGCAGGGAGGAATTGCCTTTCCGGTGAGAAATGAGAGCTCAGGAGCAGTTTATGCCTGTTTGGTTCATAGTGTGCAGATGAGTCACGTTGCAAACAGCTCCTGCCCTGTTTGATTTGAGAGAGCCCTTTCCCAGGGGAAGCCTGGGCATGGAAATGATGAGACATGCCTCCTGCCCCAGCCCCATGGGGATCTTCTTTCTGCGGGGATGAGGCTGTCCCAGGAGTTGTCCCCACACTCCTATAAGCCCCACTGCAAAACTTTTCAATTAAAGGCTGATAAGTCCTTAGGAGTGGATTTGTCCTCGAGGGAATTTCCTTGGGCTCGTTGCATAACATGGACAAGGAGAAATATGCCTGAGAAACACCTTCCAATTCCAAGAAGCTCCAAAACCTCTCTGGCTTACTCCTAGCCTGTTCCCCACTCCCAGCAGCCACCCTCTCCTCCCCATCCCGCTGCTCCCTTACTCATTGTAGCGGTTGTCTTCAGGGAAAACGGGAGAAGGCCTTATCTCCTCTGTATACAGCCCAGCACGGATTCCTCTCTGCGGCTCGAAATCTTGCTGGTAGATACTTTTCCACTCAAGGTCAGAGTCGTCTAGTGAAAGAGAGTCCAAATAATTTAAAGACTTTCTTTGTACCTCTGTCTCCTCTATTGCACAGTCTGAGTGTTCCCCCTTCCCCTGAGCTCCACTGGCTGTTTGTGCTTCCAGCTCTCCTGTTGGAGTTACCACGATGAAGGGATTAACCAAGGGGAAATGGAGGAATTGATTACTTGGTGTAGACAAGGTTGTTTAGATGAGATTATTCAGCCCTTATTTTCTATAACCTGTGTGAGGGAAGCCACAAAAGGCAGACCTGGAAATGACATCTTGTGATCTTCCTGTCTGGATATTGACTTGTCACCTGGTATAAATTTTCCCATACTGTCTATTTTCTTTACCATCCTGCCACCCATCAGGGACCAAACCAAGGAAGAGATTCATGGCTCACTAATTGAGGACCATCACATCTGCTGTAATATCTTCCCCAAAAATCCCTGTGGGAGCTGGTTTGAAGAGGTACCATCCCCCATCTGACTCTCCAGAGATGTCTTATCTGTGTGTGAAGAGCTCGGTGTGTGTCCTTCTGATCAAGCAGACCTAGCTGGGGATAAACATGCAGGGAGGACACACAAAGAAGAGCTGCCCATTGCAGACAGATTTTCTGGGCATTTTTAAAATAACAGATTGCTACAGTGAGCAATTAGTAGAGTATTTTTGTTGTTTTCACTGAGGCTGAGGTTACAAGTGTCTCACACGTGCATTAACAGCATGCCAGGCTGTTCATGCAACCCAGCAGCAGGTCCTGTCTCCTGACATTATTTCCAGGGAGACCACATCGAGCAGGGCTGTGGTCCATGGGATGGGCAGTCTGGAAATCGGGGTGAAAGAAACACCATTTACAACACCTCAACCTCTTCTAGAAGATAACTTTTTCTCTGCCCTGCTTTCTCCCCACTGATGGACAGATGGTTACAGCAGATCTGTCAACCCTTCCTGTGTCAGTCATTTTCCCTTCACCCTCCTCAGTCTCTTCTGCAATTATATTAAAAGACATAAAACCAGGCTGAAGGCCACCAGTTATTCGCATGGGGTAGCTTCCACAGCCTCCATCCACTGACCTTGCAATAAAACAGAAGAGTTCCGGTTCTTGGTTTTGTATTTATCAGCATTGAGCAGCACTTCATTGTACAGATCCTGGGCAAACTGCTGGTAGGTGACCAAGTTAGGAGATGGCAGTTCCCTTGGCACCAATGCCTCTGAGACATGGGAGGACAGGAAGGTGAATTAGTCAGGAATCACCATCAATTGTCACCCAAATCCTACCCTTTGGATAGGGTGAGCTGGAGTCCCAGCTGGCAAAAATCACGGCAGCCCCAGTCACTTCAGCAGAGCTTTGCAATTAAGGTGCATCAGCTTTGCTGATTTGCATTAATTTTAATGGTCCATGGCTCAAGTAAGGGAAGGATTTATGATGGTGCAAAGCAAGGGGAAGGAGCCCACTGTCTCCACATTGCCCTGGAGTGCTAAAAGGAGACCCTCTGCAGCAGGTCTGTGTGTGAGTGCACTGCTGGGATACACTGGGGAGAGCAGGAAGGGAAAAGCCCACAGGAGTTTCAGCACAAGACAGCTTCAGATGGGCTTGGCAAGGTGGTCTTTGCAGCCCTCAGAGGTAAGTGGAGTCCATATGGAGACACATCTGTCTGAGCTGCTTGTCCAGACTCTCCTTCTATTGAGTGGAAGGGAAATCCCACCAGGGCTTCCTGCACCTCATTGTCAGGGTGGCATTTAAGCTACAGGAGATGGCTGTGTCTTTGCTCCCCTCCGATCACTAAAGGATCCAGACACAGGCATCCCACACTCAGGGAACAGAGAGGACATCCCTGGCCATGTCTCCTGCTTGCTTATGGAGCACTGCTGAGCAATGACACCCTCTTCCCTCTCAAGCAGAAAAAAATCTTTGCTCTTTTCTTTGGGATGGCTGGGCATGTCAGAATGATGCTTGGTGACCACTCCTTTTGTTTTCCTGACTTCCACAAGTATTTTAATCCATGCAAGCAAGCTGTTAAATGGTGTGGCTGTGGGCTGTCTGCCAGCACATTTGCTGTCAGACAGGCACTCTTAGCAGAAGGATTTTTTGAACCACCCAAACCCTTCACACCCAACCAGAGCCCTTTTCCCTCCCTGTGCTTCTGCAATGTGGGGTTGACTGCCTCTCTGTCTATCCCAGCAGAGCTGTAAAAGATAAAACCCTTAGAGACCCTTGCTAGGAGTGGTTCTTCATGCACCAAGATGTTTCTAAAACCCCAGCTCCCTCCACCCATGCTTTGGGCTGGCCTGGGAGCTGCATATTCATGGTGACAGGGCTGTGTCAGGCTCAGCCCAGCACCGAGGCACCATCAGGATGCTGCCATTCATCCCCGTGGGTCCAGCCAGCACGGGCCAGGGGCTGGGGGGCTGGCAGAGGCCCTCGGGCAGCTGGCCACAGCCTGTTCAGCAGCAGTCAAGCTTCAGGGGTTACCCTCAGTTCCACATGTCAGGGCAGGAGCTGGAAGGGGCGAGCAGCAGCACAGGTCGTGCATCGGCTCCGCGAGAATCTCCAGTTTCCCTGCCCGCCCCGGGGTCAGGTCAGAGGGCTGGAACTCTGGCAGGTAGCACTTGGGAAGGTCTTCCAGAGGAGGGTACGAAGGTGTCTGCAGGAAAAAGTCCCGTGTGGATGGAGAGGCAGCAGCTGGGGAGGGCAGCTGCTAAAGCATCATCAAATAGCCATGCCCAGCAAAGCCTGGGCTCGGGTGGGGTCAGCATCCCTGGGGACAGGGGCCACAGAGCAGCTCTGTGCTCTCACTGAGCTACAGGAACCACCACAGCTTCCTCTGTCTGCCCATCTTACAGCTTGGGACCCTGCTGGGCCCTGCCTGGGCAGTGGGAGGGAGGGAGGGAGGCAGCCCTGGCAAAAGCAGTGGGAGAGGGAATGGCCCCAGGGCTCATGTTAGGGAAAGGCTAAAGAGAATCCTGGTGTGGCTGCTGCCTCCAGCCTCTCCAGCTGCACACTGCAGCTCCAGAAGGTTTTTAGGGGCTCTGAAAGAGATTCTCCTGCTGTGAGCAAATCCAGGCTGCTGGGCCAGCAAGAACCATCCTCACAGGGTTTGTCTATTGTTGTTTAGGATCTCTGTTTGTCCCTCATACTACAGGGTTCCCAGAGCAATCCCCTAATGTTTTTCCTTTGCCAGGCTGTGTCTGGGGGCTTCCCCCACTGAGGATGGCCAGAGCTTCTCCTGAGGTATCTCCAGAGGGACAAGAGCATCCAGGAGACCCTGGCAGGGATGGCTCACCAGCCAGTGCTTTCTTCCTTAACACAAGGGGTTCCCCTTCCCCCTGGGAGTAGGTTAGTGCCCAAAATTTCACAGATAAAAACATCACAGTTGTTTTACTCTCTTCAAAAAGAACAAATCTTATCAGGGCCAAGAGGGAGACCTGGGCCTCCCGAGTACCTCATCATCACACTGCCCAGTGGGACAGCTTCCTTTGGCAGGTCTTGGGAATTAATAAGGAGCCAAAGGGAGCTGCAACCCAAGAGAATCAGACACAGCTTCCTTCCTTCCTATCTCCCAAGCTACACCAGCACCTCCACAGGAAGTGTGCAGCCTTCCAAAAACAAAATTTAAATGAAATAAATACAAAAAAAAAAAAAA